CACTCTGCTCTTCTGAGATGGAGAGGGATGCTGAGGAATGGGGAGAGATTTAAGGGAGCAGGTGGATGTAAAGATGTGGGCAGGTACCACCCTACATGGGTTTGGGCTCCCTGTTCATCTGGTGGGCCTCCTGATGGTCCCTCCAGGCATAGGGAGAGAGCTTGGCCCCCTCTGACAAGGCTCTGCCCGGTGCCATGGGCAATGGGTTTGGTCTTGGGGGCGGTGGAGAGGGTTCCTGCCCGGCCCTCCGAGCCCCTGCGCGCCAGGACCTGGCCTGCCGGCACCCTCCTCGAGCAGCACATCCCGCCAACGGGAGGAAAAGAGAGAAGGAGAAACTCTGGAGCCAACTCAAAGCAAAACTAGAGAAAGCAAAATGAGGGCGGCGGGAGGAAACATAGATGTTCTGCAAGCCTACAGCAGGCTCGGTGACAGGCAGGGCGAGGCTTTTGGTGGGATGGGATGGAGGAGATGCTGTGAGCCTGGACCCCTCAGAACACACCAGGGCTGTGCAAGCTGGCCACGGTTAAGGGTCCAGGCAACCTGCCTAGCAGCCCATCCCTCCCACCACCAACCACAGCACCCACCAGCTCATCCCAGCCTGTCTCTGCCAGGACCGATAGCTGCTTTTCCAGCAAGTCAAGGCCATGGCAATGCTCCCACACCCTAGTGCCCAACAAACCAGTCCCACCCACAGATCACCCCATTAACCCAGGGGCCAAATAACCCACACACCCCACTGCAGCACCTCCAGCCCAACCTCTCCCCACCAAAACACAGCTCTGAGACCTCCCAGCGACCAGAACAGTGCTCACGTGTAAGTAACCTTTCTCCCACACAACCTGACTGACCCTTCTCTGCCTAGCATCTGCAATGTCCCTTTTTGCAGGAATGGTGCTTTGCTGCTCCATGGCGTGGCTCTCGAAGACGCTGCTGCAAGCAGCAGGAGAAGACTTCTTCCTCTCCATCTCCCTCTGCCTGCCCAGTTTTCTCAAGACCCGTTTTTTTGGGCTCAGGTTTCTTTAAGGGATGCTTGCTCACATGTTTTTCCCAACAACCTTTAATCAAGGCTGGGGTGTATAAGGAGCCAGGCTGGCTCTCAAGTATCTGTATAGGGGGGGTTGCTTGCTTAGGTATAGCTCAGGCATGCTGAAGTCACCCATACAGCTTCCTGCAGGTGCTGACAGGGATCAGTCCCAGCTCTCCGAGGTCTCCCAGCAGAGTCTGGCCATTCTGCATCAGCAAAACCCCAGAGTGGGACTGGGGATGAGCTATGCTCTCCAGAGGTCCCAGCTGGTGTGCGGTCCCAGGGAGCTGACAAAGCATTTTGGCACCAACTGTGGTGGCAGCTGCTCCTCGGGGGAGCACCGGGTGTCCATGGTGGGAAGTGGTTGCTAACTGCCAGACCAGAGTGTGCAAGAAATGCAGCAGCTTTGGTGCCTGCAGCCACCCCTTCGGCTGCACATGGGTCCCAGCGTGGGTCCTGGCATGGGGTTGAGGGCCCATATGTCCGCAGGCGCGTGCATGTATTTGGCATGCAGTAGCTGTGCAAATCTGAGGGTGTGCACACAAATTTGCATGGGGAGTTGTGTGCACATCTGTGTGTTCATGAGCATTTGTGTGTGCTCGCGCATGAGTGTGCATGCCTAGGCTGGGGATGCTTGCTCTGGGGTGACACAGGGGAATAAGAATTGGAATCCCCCCCCGGTTTGGCTGCTGTGCACTTGTGAGCACAAAGCATGGGGGAAGGGGCTGTCGGGAGCATCCTCCATCGCTCACACCACGATGCTGGTAGGAATGAGGTGGGCAGACCCAAACCTATGCCCTGTCCTCTCTGGCCTTTTAGGAGTCATTCCCAGTGACTCCACATCCTGAGAGCACAAAAGAGTCAGGTCCAGGTGCTATTTAATTTTACGGGGCCTTGTTTTACTCCTGTAAGCCTCAGTTTTCCTAAAATGGGATGCTGAGGATCAGGCTGGGGCCCTGCTCTTATTCTGTCAGTGGCCAGTGGCTCTGAGACACAGGCGTGAGCCCTGGCAGCTGCACTGCTGCAGGGAGCAAAGTTAAAAATCAGAGCCAGGTGGTAGGGTCTGCCTAACCGCTCTGCAGCAAACCTCCTCTCCGCAGACTAAACCAAAGACCACTGAAACCCTGCCACCCACGCCCCTCCAGAGACAGCAAAGCAGCTGTGGCAGAAAGGGTGAACCCCAAAACCATACCAGGCCCATCACAGCCCAGCCTCTTCTTGGTGCAGGCAGGAAAAGCCAAAGGACTTGAGGGTGTCAGCCCAGCACGCCCCAGAAAACCTGACACAAACCTTAGCAACATAGGTTGAAATGAGTTTACTCAGGTCCCTGCTTAATTTGGAGTGGAGAAAAGGGGCATAAACCTGTCAGTTGGCACAAATAGCAGGCAGCCAGCTGGTATGGGTGCAGTGGTGGACAAAAGCAGGAGAGCTGTGACATGGAGTGAGGGGCAGGGGAACAAGGGATGTAGGATGGTGGAGCTGGAAAAGCCAGAACTAGGGACTTGTCAGGATGGGAGGTAAAACAGCTTCCTCCAGGTCCCGCACAGTGACTCCAGGAAGACTGAACTAATATCACCATGCTGGAGGGAGAGTCAAAACCGTGAGTGGCTGCTCTCCTGGCTTGCACAGAAAGACAAGAGCAGCTTCTGCACACGAATGCGCTCGGCTCCCCATCCCCAAGGAGGATGCTGGGGCATGGGGACTGACACCCATCTCAGGGCACTGCTTGGTTCAGGGATGCTCAGTTGGGGGCTTGAAACCTGCATCCCGCCCGGAGCTCATCCCAGCCATGTTCCTGCTCTGGCCGCACAGCTGGTGCCGTACCCAGCGCAGGGGAGCATAGCTCGGGTCTCTGCCAGTGCTGGGCACCCTATCCTCCAAAGAGGGTTGGAAAATGGTGCCTGGCAGCCTGGAGCATCCCCACCACACACCTCACACATCCCCAGGCTCCAGCCTTGCTCCCTGCAAGGGGCAAGATTGCAGCCAGGCTGCTGGGGGACCAGAGGGGCAGAGGCACTGCTGTAGGCTGGGTGTTCTCCCATCCCAAACAGCAGTGGGAGATGTTTTTGCTACACCTTCGACCCCACGGGATGGCTTGGGAGCCTCCACTTGGCTGCAGACCAGCATCCACCGAGAGGGGAAGGGACCCAGCCCCAGCCACTCCTGGAGGAGCCATGGCTGCAGCCAGGGAGCACAGAAAGGGCTGAAGACCCAGCACCTGCACTGCCCGAGAGGCAGGACAGAAAATATGAAGCAGGGCCCACCCTCTCGCCGCTGTCACGTCTGACGGGAAAGCCAAAAGCAAAACTGCTGACTGAGCTCCCGCTTATCACCCGCTGTGGCTGCTGCCTGGCTTGGCTTTCCGTGTGAGCTGAGCCCAGCCGGCCACAGCAGGTCTCTGCTGGAGCCGCTGGGGCAAGGAGCAGGGCTGCTGCTTGCAAAAAGCCCCAATGGGCTGAGCCGTGCATTGGCGTGAGTGGATGTTGTGGGAGTTAACGGCACTGCCCGTGGTGGCTCCTGGGAGCCTTCAGCAGCACCAGGGACCAAGGGGGACCACCACATCCACTGTCCTGCCCTGAGGAAGGGTGAAAGCCAGCCCAGACGGATATTCATCCCATCTAGTCCCCTCTGGAGGTTTCTCAGGGACTCCCCAGCCCCCACAGGGGACAAACTGCAGTGCTTGGCATGCCTCACCCCTTCCCCCAGCACCTGAGCTGGCTCCCACAAGGCTGCACTGGTTTTACTGGGGGTAAGGGAAAAAGAAACCTGCTGACGGTGCCACTGAAGTAAGATGCAAGTGACTCTTCTCTGTTTCCACTAGGTTTTATGCTCTCCCAGCAGCTCTCTGCTGCCTCCAAAGCCACTCCTTACTGGGGTTTCTCCCCTCTCGAGCAGTTGTCACTTCTTTCCGTTCCGGTTTCTGGCAGGCAGCACAGCCCTGGCATCGCTTTCAAGAGGGAAAATGGAAGTTTGGAGCCAGAAAGCTGCACTGAGCACCATGTTGTGAGTTTTGCCCTGGCTGACGGCAGCCAGGTCCCTGGCACGACAGGGATGCTCATCCCAAATGGGCTCAGCAAGAACCCTGAGACAAGCCTGGTAAGGGGGGGGGCTCAATTTGCAGCTGCACCTGGGTGACCAGCTCAGACAGGGGCGAGAGGAAAAAGAGCAGCGGCTTCTCTAAATTATTAAGAGCAGCTTCGTGGAACAGCGGCTTGTGTATTGCACAGAGAGGCCCAGGAACCACAACAGACGCCGCCGCCTCCCGGCTCTCGCCTGCGCGCTGCCAAGAGCCGTTATTTGCCTGCCCACGCACTTGCCATCACGAGTCAACAAACTCCCCGGACATGAAACCCTTTATTCAGCCCCCAGGGCCAGATCCATCTCCCACCTGTGCAGGGAGGGACATGAGGGTAGATCTCACCTCTTGCAGAGGAGGAAAGTGCCTGGAGACAGGAGGAAAAACAGCCAACCTACTTCCCAGGGGTTTCTTCTGCCCCAGGCAAGGAGAAGCCCTCAGCCCCAGGCTCCTGCGAGCAGCATCTCCCAGGATCCACTCCAGCTCTGGCCTCCGGCATTTCTTCCCACAGTCATGCTTTGTTAGTTGGACTGGACCTGGGCAACGGAAGCATCGTGGCCACTCCAGAGAGCCCTGGTGGAGGTAGAAAACTGAGGCACGATGTAAATCGCCTTTGGGACAGACCTGTTGGCACTGCTGCTCTGCCCCAGCCCTCCTCCCTGCCCTGAGTGAAGAGGTGGCACGTGGAGCCCAGAAGGGACCTTCCTTGTCCCGAGGTACCCATCTCATGGCCACAATCCCACCATGGCCAGGACTGTTTGATATCAACTCCAGCAGCAGCGCCTCTGTCGCTCTGGTCCTGGCACACTCTATTTTTCCAAACTGCAAACTGCGGTGGGAGCGAGCGTCTGGGGCAGCCTGTCCCTGCCCACACCCCCTGGCGAGGAGGGACCCCAGCCCTCAGCAGGGCTGTGACTGCAGCTGCCGAGTCCTCTCATCCTGGTGTTTCTTCCCCCGCTCCGGCGTGACAGGTTTCTCCTCTGGGAAGACAATGGTGGCGTATTCAGTCTGGTCAACCGGCCGGGTCTCGGGGGGCACCTGGGTGCGCTGGTCGCACTGAAATTCCAGCACGCCGTAGTCCACAGTGGATATGGACACCATGGGGGGCTTTTCTTCCTTCTGCAAGGAAACCCCGTCGGGGCACTTCATCATCCAGAGGCACCCACCATCCCCAGTACAACCCCCTTTTTACAGCAAGTGCCAAAACCAGTTCTGAAGCATGCTGGGAAGGTGAGAGCGACACAAAGCAGAAAGACACGCAGATCTGGGATAGCGTTTTCCCAGAGAAACCAGACTGTGAGCCTTGGGGTCACCACTGAAGCCATGTGAGTCTCAGCTCTCTGCCTCTGCAGGCAGGTTGGGCTCCCTGCCTGCCCAGCCATGGAAGGCAGGGTTGTACTAGGAGCCCTTTTCCCACCTCTCCATTGGGCTCCGAGCTGGCACAGGGTGCACCAGGAGAGTCTCGGGCTGAGTTTGCTCAGCCCAGAGAGGGGAGAGCAAAGGGGGACCTACTCGCTGCCTTCAGCTACCCAATGGGATTGGAGAGAAGATGGAGCCATACTCCTCCCGGTGGTGCCTGGCAAAAGGAAGACAGGAAGCAGGACCTAGCTGCAGCAAAAGAAATTTCAGCTTAATATATTGGGGGAGGAATGTTTCCTCCCATTTTCTATAGCAACACAATCCACTATCAAAGATAACCCTGTTTTAAGCAAGGGTTGGACTAGAGAGGTCCCATCCTCCCTCGGGCAGTTTTTTTGATTTTGTGATGGGGCTGTGCTGCAGGTGCAGAAATGCAGTTGTAACTGTGCAGAAAAGATCAAGCAGCATCAGAGAAGACAGGAGGAGCGAGAAGCCTGTGAAGGGCTGATAAAGGGAGGCCCTGCACCCTCTGCACCCCAGCAATGTCACAATGCTCCCCTGCAGCACGGAAGGGCATCAGAGACGGAAAACTCACCGCTGGTGTGTTTTCACTTGGTGGTTTCTGCACATCTGCAAAGTAACACATTTGGTTAGAAGATGCCAAGATAGCTCGACCATCTGGGGCTGGGGCTGACCCAGCCCCCACATCCTAGGAGAGTGCTGGACATGGCAACCATTGCACCACACTTCCTCCGTCTCCACTCCGGTCTAAGACCCTGAGCATTACAAGGACAAGTGAGATACCAGCCCACTGTCTAGGGTTTAATTGGGATTCGTGGGGTGCGATTCCTCAGGGGTGCCCTCTGGGAGAGCTCCCCTGGGTGCCTGTGGGATGGCTGAGGCAATGCTCAGTTGCAGCAAGGAGATGATGAGGTGCCCCAAAGGTGCATGCGAGGGATTCACATGCAACATTAAGGCACCGCACTAACGAGCGGTGCAAAGCCACAGCATGTGATCTGGGGTCTATGAAGGGCGAGCAGGGCCCAAAGAACCCTTCTCCCCTAGGCATGGAGATACCTGTCCCATGGGGACATGCCACAGATGAGTTTAGCACATTGAACCAGCCCGTGTACCCCAGGGAGCTGCAGGCGTCTGGCTGCCCCAGGTCCCAGCTGGGTTTGCTGGATGAGCATCACCTATCAGGTCCCGTGGCAGACCCCAGCCCCTCAGTGCAGCATGGTCCCTGTGGGGGATCGTACCTCCTCTCCGGTACGTGACGGTGAGGTAGCCGAAGATCAGCAGCACAACCGCCCCAGTCAGCAGCAAGATGCCCACGAGCACAGCCCTACTGTGGTTCGGGGCACTGCCTTCCTCCATCTCGGGTTCATCTGTGGCATTTGTCTTCTCAGGGGCTGCTGTAATAGCCATTCAAAAAAGGGAGAACAAAACAGCAGGTCAGGAGGGTAAAATGGCCTCTAGTCCTTGTGAAAGGCAACAGGGGAACATGGGGGCTGTCCCCAGAAAGGGCTCAGTCCCAGGCGGGCTGCCACAGCCCCACCAAAGGCCCTGAATTTCGGCTGACATGGGGGATGTTTTGGCCATGTCCCATGCCTTCCCATTGCAGGTGGTGAGGATGATCCCACACCGCTGAGAGTTGGAGTGCAGGGGGCCAGGGCACCGCTCTGCAGCCCGAAGCAGCCCTGCAGCATGACCCCATGCCCAACAGAGCCCCATGGAGGACACAGCTTCCCCAAGCCTACCCTCTGCTTCCATGTCCTGGGGCCATCACAGCATCAGCTCATGTTGGGAAGAGATGTGAAAGAGTGACTTCTGCAGTTCTTGTCCTTTTTCTAAAAGGCTACCTTCAGCCCCACAAAGCCTCCATGCTGCCAAGCAAAGGCATGGCAGATCTTGCTGCAAGATCTCATTCTCCCACGCCATGGTGCTATGAGACCCTCCCAGGGCATGGTTTTGCAACAAGGGTATCTACATCAACACTGGCTGTTCGAGGGGGTCAGAGCCCTGGTCGTCACCCCAAACACAATCTCTATCCCCAAAGGAGCTGTTCAGGGGCGAAGGCAGCTCCCTACAATGGTTCCTGCCTCCATCTGTGGGTGAAAGCAGCTCCCTATGCTGGCCTCCTGCCTCCATCCATGGGTATGGACTCACTCCTGCCAACAGCATCACTGGGGACACAGCCCCAGCAGGTTGGAGACCTCCTGCCTCAGGACCAGATCCAGCCACAAGGCAGATGGGGGAGGACAGCTTGTGTCCCTAGACCTCAACCCTGCATGCAAGGAGAGGGGAAAGGGCAGAGCTGTGCTCTCCTGACCCACACCAGGTCCTCCCTCAGCGGGGTACTGCCTGCCTTATGCCCTGGGGCTGCACTGTGTTGGAAGGGGTAGCACTATGGGATGACACCAATGAGCTGTTCCCATCAGCTCAGCCCCCAGGCTGACCTGTGACCACCAGGTGGGACCGGCTGCTCTCCATCACTTTATCGGGTTCAAAGAAGGTGATTAGTCCACAGTAGTAGGAGCCTGAGTCATTCTGGTAGAGGTTCAGGATCTCAATCTTGAAGGCAGGAGTGTGGTTGGTGAGCAGGTACTTCTCTGTCTTCGTCTGTGGGTTGTTCCGGCTGATCTCAGCAATTTTTTGGGCTTGGCTGTGGTTGGTCTCCTTGTACCAATTGAGGCTGTACTCCAACCCAGAGTCATTCTCCATGGAGATATTGCAAAAGAAGGTGGCTGAGCTGCCTGCAGGGACAGTTAACACTGCTGGGAAGAGGGTCACTGTTTGGGAGAGAGGAAACAAGGAACAGACATGGTTACAGTGGGCACAGGTCCAGAAACAGGCATACCCCCCATGCAGGAACCAAGGACGCAAGGCCAGTCCGCAGCATCACCCCAGATCACGGGGAGGTACATCACACCACGTCTCCCCTTTCTGAGTGTGTGCCTGCCGGCCAGAGGGGGATGCTCAGGGGTAGTAACTGTACCATGAAGTGGTTTCAGCAGAGCTGATTGTGGTCTGGGCTACCTAAAATTAACCCAGAACACCTGCACAGGGGAAAACAGGCTTTGGGGATTGTATTCTTTTAAATTTATCCTGTATTTTAGTGTCTGAGTCATCCTTCCTCCAGCTGATGTTGCCTCTGAAGGCGAGCAGAGGGACCAAGTCCTGGGCTGGGGCAGCACCCCGCAGCGCAGCCCACTGCGTGCCCGGCTGCCTGCCAGGGTGCTCCGGCTCTGCCCACTGCTCCATGCTGGGAGCACAGAGTGGGCAGGGGCTGCCCAGGGCACAGCATTTGCCATCCCCAGCCTGAGACCGTCTGACGGGGCAGAGTGACCTTTAGCTTACGATGCCATCCCTTTCCAGCTGCCTGTCCCCTCCTCGCATGCAAGTGGGCAGCCAGGCACCCACCCCGGGGGGGTCCTGGCCAGGCTTGCCAAGCTGCTCCCAGCACAGAGGGCAGTCAGCCATGGCCACAGCCCCCACAGCCCTTAGCACCAGCCCTGCTGCTTCGCCACATTTCCCTGCCCATGATCCCAAGCGGCTCATCCCACTCCGGGCAGCGGGGATGCTGCGAACATGAACACGGGCCAGGCTCACAACGTCCCGGCTCAGCCAGCCCCATCCAGCAGGACGAGGCAGTTGCTGCATTAACTTTTGTGGGGAGCAATAAAAAGCAGGAAGAAGCATGTTTCACACAATTTATCTGACCAAGCTATTCAAACCGCCAATGCTTTGAAAAGTCCCTGCCATTAAGAAGCTAATCTTCCCTTTTCAGAAATTGCCACTGATAGCAGCCCCAGAGCTTGCAGGCAGAGTTAAAAACTCCTTCCCGTTGCTCTAGTACTGGCCTGAGGCCATAGGACCATGACCTCAGCATCACCAACCAGAAAAGGATCCAGGACAATTCCTTGAATAGATACAGGATTAGATGGAAAACTGGGCTGAGAAATGAGGGATGAGACTGGACGGGAGGAGGGAGGGAGGGAGGCAAGTGCCCTGGCTCCCACAGGCAGTGCTGGCCGTGGCAGTGCCCACACCGAGAGGCATAATTTTTGCAGTATTCTGGGTTTCTTGTGTTTAACAGGAAATATTCAGCAGGCTCAGGGCTTTGCTTCCTACCCAGTGCTGCTGCCAGAAATGAATGAAGCACTCGGAGGACTTCTGAAAGCAGAGGTTGCGTTTACATGTTTCCCTGCATCTTCCCAGCACCAGAGGTAACATCTGCTCCGAGGGACGCCCAGCCCTGCACACACCCTCGGGGCAGAAAACACCCGAAGCCACCAAAGAAAGAGCCAGGCTGGGAGGAAAGGGGGACATGGCTTCATCAGGGCTCTTGCTTGCTCTGCCCAGACTCACCCCTTCCCTTCCATCTCCCTTTCTTCCCCAAATTTCACCCTGAGCAAAACTGCACACAGGACCCTGGCTCCCCCAGGATCAAGTCCAAACCATGAGGCGCAGCCCAAAGTCGCAGCCCGAAGCCATGAAAGCCAGAGCAGAAAACCCCAGACCCCGCATGGCACGGGTAAACCCAGAGACTCAACACCAAACCCCAATCATAGACAGTGTGCCCACAATGCGGTTCCAGTGCTGGCACCATGGGCGGGGGACATGTCCCCTTCTCTATCCTCTAACCCCATTTCTGCCCTGAGCATCCCCATTTCCCTCGCTTCAGCTGTGCGTCCCCAAAAGCTTTGGCTTTTCTGCCTTCTTGATGCCAGAGCTATTTTTAACTACAAAGCTCCCAGCCCTTAGACGTTTTCCACCAGCTGCAAACAACACGGGCCATATCGGCGAGCACGCTGTGCTCCGGTACCTACCCCGGCGGCAGCTGGCCAGCATGGGGACGCAGCAGAGCAGGACGGCGCAGAGGCCGGTCAGGGCCATCTCCACGCTGCCCCACATTGTCTTCGAGGCACACGGAGCCATGGCGAGCCAGTCGGTCCCCTGCCCTGGCAGGAGTGCCTTGCCGTGCCGTGCCGTGCCGTGCCGTGCCACCTCCGGCTCTCTCCCTCCTTTCTTCCTTCCCCACAGTGGCAGCTTGTTCTCTGGCGTGCGCGGCAGGGGCTGGGGTGGAAATGAAACGTGCCCATCTCTGCCCCAGAGGGAAACCCGGGCTGCCTCCCGCCCCCAGCTTCCTCCCCGCAGACGCAAGGATCAGCTGAGCCAGCCCTGGCCCCTTCCCCTCCCCGCGCGCTCCCAGTGCGCTCCCACGCAGGCACCCGGCTGCCGAGCAGCGGGGACGGGCACCTCTGAGCCCGCACCCTTTTTGGGGAAAGCTCCCAGGGATGGAGCAGGCAGGGACCACTGGGGACATGTCCTCAACCGCAAGCCTGGCCCGTAAGTCAAAGGGCTGTCTTGGGTTCCCAGGCACCCATGGGTGCTGCCAGCAGGTGCCCATGGCGGGGGGGGGTTGGGGGACATGTGGCACTGGGCAGCCAGGCAGGGTCTGAGCAGCCATGGGGCACCATTGGCAGGCTGCTCCCACCGGGAAGGGATGGGAGAGGAGGAAGAAGGTGAAGAAGGTGGCGAAGGCAGAGAAGGAGAAGTTTTACCTCCTTAGGTGTGTTTCTCCACAGACAGATTTGCAGAGAGCAGGAGCAGGTGCCCAGGGCCGGGGTGCTGTTATTGGGGTGACCTTTGCAGCAGAATTCTTTAATTTCTCCACCGGTGATGTTCCCCGCTCGCCTCACTGACTAATACTTGCATAGGAAATAACCGAAGGTGAAAGCACACTGTGGCTGGCTCCTCCGCTTCTCTCGAACACAGCTTCGGTGCCCCGCAATTTTGGAAAGTGTCAGGGGAAAATTAATAATCGGGGTGAAGGATGTGTTTCTCATGATGATTTCATTATTTTCTGGGCTTTCAGAAACCAGCAGCAGGACTGGAGCTTGCTCACCTCTCGCTTTCAAACAGGGCCCTGGCAGGCGAGCGGGCTGGGGAAGCCACCCCTAATTCGGGATGGCCAACGAGGGGGTTCTGAGCCAGGGCAGGCAGGGCTCACCCTGGGTTGGTGGCTCAATCCAGCCTGTCCTGGGTCCTCTCTTCCAGTCTCCTCCTGGCACTGCAGCATCACTCCTTTCTCATGAGCTTCTTGCTCTGCTTGGGCCACACAGCAAGCCTGGGGGGGTTGTCCCCTCCTTGTCACCTTCCCATGCCGCCTGGCCAGAGGCCACCACCTGGCAGGGTGGCAAGAGGAGCGCTCTCCACCATGTGCAACGGTGCTGGGGGGCTCCAAGGTGGACATCGCCTCTTTCTTCGCAATTTCCTGCATTTTCATTAAAAAAAAAAAAAAAACTAACTAAACTAAACTAAACTAAATTCCAGAAAATATGGAAGCTGACAGCAAGGCTTTTCCACCTATAGGCTTTGTGTCCCCAAAAGGTGACACCAGCCATCTGGGCCGTATGTGGGGAGGCTTGTTTGGCGCTTGCAACATGTTTTGGTTTCTAGAGGCGGAAGATGTGACAGGTATCACCACCGAGATCGCTACTCACCAAACTAGGGATCAGCAGGAAAAACTGGCTCACCCTCCCCACCCTGCATAGCAGCAGAGGTCTCTGATTAAAATCGTAGCACGAATTGCTCAAACTTTCCAATGCACGCTCGAAATGGGGCACAAGCTGGTATCCGGGGCGGGGAGGCTGCCACGTCCACTAGAAACCAGTGGTGGCTAGATGCAGACCATACAGCAATGTTTACAGATGCTCAGGTTCCTTCGGAAACCTGTGCCCCAGCGCTCCCCCCTTCTCCCCAGCAGGCTGGGGACCGGCACTGACACCGGAGCCTTTCCAGGCTGCTTGGGGTGCAGGATGAGGCTGTGTGCAGCCAGGAAGCACCGGGGAGCTCGCAGAGCCGCAGAGCACGCAGCAGAAACTGCAGAGGAGGGCAAGCCGGGAGCTCTCCAGCAGCACGCTGATGGAAAGCTTGCTCTGTCGCAAGAGAGAGAACAGGGGTTTTTTCCTCTTTTTGCTGAAAAAAAAATTTAAAAGGATGAAAAGAATAAAAGAAAAGATCAATCTCGCTGCTAGGAAGCTGCTGAGGGGGAAAGTGAGGTGAGCAGCAGTGGCGTGCCCCAGCCCAGCACATGCCCTGGGTGCTGGCATCACGGAGGAGCCCGGCCTCGGCCCTGCAGCAGTCCCCAGGCTTTGGGCAAGCTTTGCATCCTGCCTGCACCCTGCAAGACCAACACAGCTCCTGCTGGCTCTTATGCCAGCTTCTCCATCGCCAAGGAAAACAGCCTGGCTCCAGCTGTGCTGTGGCTCCCCACTCATGCTGGTAAATCCCCTCCAGCCCAAAGGGGTGGATGGCACATCCCGGGGTTAGCTGAGGGGGGCCTGAAAAAGATCCTTTGATACTTAAAATAAATTCTCTTTCTCTGAGCTGAAATGTGGTGAATTGCATGGGGCAGTCCTCTTCTATTTGGCCACTGAAAGAGCAAAAGAAGGGTTAAAAAGGAAGGAGAAAGAGGAGTAAGTGAGAAAACAGTTTGCTCTTCATAACTAAGAGACAGGAACTTCAGCAAGCACGTCACACCACTTCATTGAAGCATTAATGTCCTTTTCTTTCCCAAGAAGAAGCTGGCCCAATGTGTCAGCAAGGGTCCCAGCTACACAGCTGTGACCCAGACGAGGCCCCAGTCTCCTGCAGCCACCACCGTCGAGGCACACAGCTATCACCCTGAGCAATCGCCTCAAAGGATCGAGGTTCAGTCCCAAAATGGCTTAAAAGCATCTTGGGTATTTAAGGAGCACTGAAAATTTGGAAGATGAAGAAGAAAGCAATGACCAAACACTTCAGATGGAGCTGACTGAAGCCCAGAGCTGAATGTCCTCAAAGTCCAGGAAAGCAAACTTCCCAAATGAGATGGGGAACACAAATTACCACAAAAAGATGCTGAGGAAGTGAAACGCACATGTTCCCAAAGATCCCTCCCCCGCTGGTTTAACTGAATTCATATTTGTGGGTCTGACCCAGACAGGAGACGATGTGGCTGGGGCAAGAAGAGGAAATGGTTAATAGTGTTTGCAAATAAACACAGAGAGCATCGAGGTCTTTCAGATACTTCTCAGAAATTAGGAAGGCCCCTGCAAATGATTTGCATGAGCAACGCCTGACCCTGCAGGGAAAGGCAGAGGCTCTGGAGGGGGGTTGGTGAGTAAGCAGCAAGTAAGCGGAGGGATGGAGCGGAGGTACAAAACTGTTCCTTTAGCAAGTGGAAATCTGCAGGGCCTGGGCAGGGCAATGGTAACTGTGATGCGAAGGTGCCACATGGGTATGGCATGGGGCCACCGCCACCTCCGGCATGGCAGCAGGGTGCTGCTCCTGCCAGCGGGCAGAGCTAATGCCCAGCCTGGCGGTACCAAGGGCTCCGATCTCTAGCAAGCGGTGCTGCTAAAACCCATGGAAATCAGGAGCTGCTGCTCCTGCTCAGGGTCTCAGGAACCTACCCGTGCTCAGAGCGGGTTGGGACAGGACCTGGTGCCAGCCGGGATGAGTCTGTGCATCCCGAGCAAAACCCCGGCAGAGGTGCCTCCTGGTGCAGCCTCACACCCTCCTGCACCCGAGGGCACCTCCAGGCAGCACCCTGCCCACAGAGCCCCAATCCCTGGTGCCCCCCAGCCCTACCGCACATGAGTGCTCCCTCCAGCCCCTCATCCCCAGCACCGGCACGCTCCGCACCAGCTGCGCCTTCACACTGTTTCCATTCGAAGCTGGGTGAAGCGCCGGAGGACCGTTCTCAGCGGTGTCATCTGCTGCACGTAAGAAGCGTGATCGCGGAGATTGCTGCATCAAGATAAACAGCGGAGGAAGCAGGATGTCAGCTTCTCCGGAGGGGGCTGTGTCATACTCAAGCTGTCGTTGGCCAGACTTCCTTGGGACAGACGGCAGCTGCGGACAGTGAAAAGAGGACAAGGGTGTGACATGGGGAGGACATCGGGGAGCGGCAATTTTAGGCCTTTCTGGAAGATTTAAGAAGTTTCTGGAAGAAAGGAGCGAGGCTGGGATCTCCGTGCCGACGGCTGGGATGCACGGCCCCGGGGCAGGAAGGGAGCACGGGGTCTGGCAGCAACAACAGGGGCAGGAATCGGGGGAAGAGGCTTCGTAACGGCAACGGTTTGGGGCTGCGCTCTCCTCCGCCTGCACCCGCTGCCCCCGCAGCAGCCGGGCGCTCCCAGCGAGGCTCCTGCGGCCGCAGCCGGC